AAGAGGAAAAAAACCGAGAGGAGCAGATGAATTGGCAGGAAGGTAGTAGCTTTCCTATAACAGTGATGAGCAGGGTGCCACCAGTGCCACCACTAGGTCCCTCTCACAGCAGTGATGAGCAGGGTGCCACCAGTGCCACCACTAGGTCCCTCTCACAGCAGTGATGAGCAGGGTGCCACCAGTGCCACCACTAGGTCCCTCTCACAGCAGTGATGAGCAGGGTGCCACCACTAGGTCCCTCTCACAGCAGTGATGAGCAGGGTGCCACCAGTGCCACCACTAGGTCCCTCTCACAGCAGTGATGAGCAGGGTGCCACCGGTGCCACCACTATAGGTCCCTCTCACAGCAGTGATGAGCAGGGTGCCACCAGTGCCACCACTAGGTCCCTCTCACAGCAGTGATGAGCAGGGTGCCACCGGTGCCACCACTATAGGTCCCTCTCACAGCAGTGATGAGCAGGGTGCCACCGGTGCCACCACTATAGGTCCCTCTCACAGCAGTGATGAGCAGGGTGCCACCGGTGCCACCACTATAGGTCCCTCTCACAGCAGTGATGAGCAGGGTGCCACCAGTGCCACCACTAGGTCCCTCTCACAGCAGTGATGAGCAGGGTGCCACCAGTGCCACCACTAGGTCCCTCTCACAGCAGTGATGAGCAGGGTGCCACCAGTGCCACCACTATAGGTCCCTCTCACAGCAGTGATGAGCAGGGGCGTCTGTGTTTTCTGTCACTTCTATAGAGCTGTGCAAATGGTTGCTGGGGAAATAAGGACAAACTGTCTCCATCTGCCTGTACCCGGCTTCAAATATTAAAACAATTATATCCATCAGATTTTAAAATGTATATTAATCATTTTTCTATGTGATAATAGGTGGTAGCTCTGAGCGGCACGCAAATTGTATATCTTGGTTATTTAAAGGTGGGGTAGGTAATTCACTTCAGAAACACTTGTTATATCCCATGGAATGCTCTTAACATCCCGATAGCAATGAATACATTAAATGCTTTGACAATAAATACATTAAAAAAATTCATCTGTGGAAGCCGTGGCGCTGTAAAAAGCACGACCAATCATTTTAGCCGGCCCGGCTAAAATAACTGGATGGCCTACCTGCCTGTCAGCCTTGCATCTCGTGCACAAACTTATCTCGTGCCCTCATTGGTCATGTGTGCGTTCGTGTGTGTTGGAGGAGGGGCTCTGTAAGGAAGTCTGAAGGAAGGGGCAGATTTTTTTCGGCTGCGTACTTTCAAATTCTAGCGCACTCGAGCTGGTTTCTCCATTCTTACCTACCTTTAATAAGGTCACATTGTTCTGTTATCTTATCGATATGTATTTTTTCTTGTATTTATTTGCATTGCATTTGATATTGAGGTCATCCAAAAGTAACAGGAAGTAATCAGGTTACATAACTTTTATATTTTGATGCTCAGATTAGGTTACTGAATACATGTTATTACAAGTAACTATTGTAGCAGAATACATTTTTAAAGTCACTTCTCCCAACCCTGTTTGCAAATCATTATGTCTGTTGTAATGTGCTATACTGTATGCTAATATAATTAATAATAAAGGTATTATAAAAATGATGTAAACATATTGAAGCAGTTTAGGGAATTACTTTAATAAACCTGAAAAGGCCTATAATAGGGGAACTTTAACCCCTGTCCCTACTGATAGGTTGCATTTTATTGTTTGGTGTTCATCTTTCTGTCCACAAATATAAGTAATAAAAGTAATAATTACATTTGAAAATGGTTCTTATTATGACCTTGTTTCTATAGTATGAGGCACTCACCTGTGTGAAGTGATCACCTGTAATGTGAGTCATATTGGTGTTTCATCATGAGGGTTTTATCTGTGTGAGGCAGAAGCTCTCACATGAACTTTACACACCCCGATCCCCCACAGCCAACTTAACCTTTTAACATGGATCAAAGAGGGGCAAAGAAAAACTACAGGGAGACTCGAGTCTGTTCAAAGCACTGATGTGTGTGTAAGCAACAGAGACAGAGAGAGGCGAGGGGATTGATGAGACGAGGAGGCAGAGAGTCAATGAGGCAGTCCCTGACTTCAAACACACACAGATTAACCTCACAGCCTTCCTCACAGCAGCACGGTGTTTCTGTGAACATCCAGAAACCCACGAGACAGACCAAGCTCTCTTCTGAAGGGGTGACGCTGAATACAAAGCTCACTGAAGTAACCCACCTGAAACGTATACACATACTGTAGGTCATACCAAAAAAGGTTTAGGCTTCACTTGTACTGATGAAGAAGAGGGAGGTGTGGGAGGAAGGAGAAAAACTGCAGGTTTGTCTATTCTAATATATTTGTTCTCAAACTATATAATGTGCTAATTCAAGCAAGTAACCAAAGTTTGTTTTTGGTTTGTTTCTGTTTCTTTCAGAGGCAAACATCAGGCGCTTTCCAGCCCCTCTTGAAAAACATTAGACTGATGCCCGGAATGATCTCACAATTACTATTATTTCCCAGCCGGCCATTTTTGTTCTCAAGAGCCCCGCCTCCGACACTGTATCCAGTTCTATTTATGGCCTAAACATTTGTGCTAATATTGGTGTTTTTCTTGTAAATAAGATCTTCTCGGAGAGTGGACATCCCATCCATTTTGAATGTGGCACCATTACCCAACGTTGAATTCAGCTTCACCTGGGCCTCGCTGCTCATTCGCAGCCTCTCCTTCTTCAGTCAACTTCCGGGAATCGCGGTAGGATGACTGGCAGTTCAAGTCACCCTGGCATATTCTGGGCATCCTCTAGCACAGGTGCCGCTCTTTTGCTGTCAATCAAGGCATTGTATCTACATCCTGTCAACAACTGGGACATTGGTCATCATCTGCCTACACCAAACCCCCAGGAAGAGCTCCAGTCGTTGAATCAAATTTCTGTAGTGGTCAAATGGTGTTGCTAGAACTTCTGTGTCAGTCCGTGACGTCATTGGGCTTAGAAAGACTATTTCCTATCAACTCACATTGGGAGAGACGTCTGTCAATCAGCTTATAATGTTTTTTTGAGGTCCATCAAATTCACAGTACTAACACTTATTGAATTTAAAGTTTAAATCAACAGGTCCTAAAAGTTGCAAAATGCGCTCAAAGCTGAATCTAGAGTTTTTTTCCTTTTCCATTCATTTGACTTAGCTGAAGATCCTGGAAAGATCTGGGCATTTTTGTTCTTGAGAGTCAGGCCATTTTGGCTTCATGCACCAGTGAGCAACTTTCATCGGAGTGAACAGAGCCCTGCCTCGGACACTGTATCCAGTTCTCTTTAAACATCCATGGACTACACATTTGTGCCAATATTGGTGTTTGAAAACCTCCTGAGAAATATTGCATAAAATGAGTCGTGGTGTTCTGCATAATGGTTGTCAATATAATCATTATTGACTATTTTTGGTCCAGTCTAATCTTCTGTCATTATTCAACATTTTCTAGTAATAGCAGACCTTGTCATTGGTGTTCCTGCAATTATTAATTAGTCTTTGGCCCACCATAGCATTGTCACATCGTCTTTTGTTATAGCATATATTTATCACTCATGTTCTACGTGACCTCTGGCATCATTAATTGGTACTTTTATTGGTCGTCACACAATCATTTCTATAAAAACAAAACGTGTTAGTCTTCTGACCATCATTTCTGTTTTTTTCTGTATGGCCCTCACTACTTTCATGTTGTGTATACTGACACATACTCATTGGGAACTCATGCATTGTTCAAAATTCTCACGATGTTGTTTCGACATTGGAAACGGTCAAATCTTTGTAAGTCATTCGGTGTAAGGCTGGAATACTTTTGACTATTTGACTTATACAAGAACAGTTTTTTTGATCATGCGCATTTCGGCCTCTTATTTATCAATGATCTAGGGTTAAGGATTTATACAATTGTTTTTTGTTAGAAACTGGTTAAACAAAACAGATACTGTAAGAAATAAGATTCTTTATTCAATCACAGTTACTGAAAAAGAAACTCTAGCTATCTGCTAATGTAGAAAACAGAAAGGTGTACTCTCATTTCACTTAGCACATACAGATGCTGTGTCCACTGAGGGGGCACAGGGGCTAACGCTAATCTAACTAACAGTACAAACACATACATATATCAAAACATCACATCCTGCACACACAACAATGGCTCAAAAATAATTGTAAACGTGCATCTGCAGCTGAAAACTCGAAAAATATATAAATTAATCAAAATCTGAAAATGCAGATTTAGGTAAAGGAAATTATCTTCAGCCAGCAATCAAACATGACAAATATAATAATGTACTGTTTAGAAGTCCAAAATAAGTACATGACATAGCCCTAACAATGGCACATTACACACAAAGCTGGTGGCAGTGTTTCGTTGAACTTGTGGCATTCTATAAACCGTCTCTTGCTACAGCTAACACATACTAACACGTCCAATTCAACACCTCTTTGCAGTCTAGCTACCAACACTTCATGAGAAGAATGAAATAACAACTGCAAAAGCCACCTTTGGATGTCTGCTGTTTTTATCTCAAATGTAACACTTTCCATAACAGCTAGGAAACCTTTGAGGAAAGCAAACAGACATTTAGTATTGTAATTCAAATGAAAAAGTCAGTAAAACCCCACGCAGCAACATACCTTGACTGTTTTAATAAAAAAATCTGTATTTATAGCCTGATATGGATTTTCTCTCAAAAGAAACTATAACACTGTTGTAATTAATGCCAATTAGTAAAGGGGCCCTATCATGCTCATTGTCAGGTCCATATTAGTATTGTGTGTCTCTACTCTGACATGTCTCCATGCTTTAATGTACAAAAAGCTCTTTATTTTTCTCATACTGCAGCACCTCTTTTCACCCTCTGTCTGAAACCAGAGCCCAGTCTGCTCTGATTGGTTAGCTGGACGGCTCTGTTGTGATTAGTCAACCATTTAGAGATGTCCTGCCCCTTAGCACAATGTACTGGAGCGCTAGCCAATAGAATCGCGAGTGTTACATAGTGCTGTCACTATGTTACAGAAGTAAACAAAGGAGACCAATGGAGGCGTTTCAGGCAGTGTGTGTGGGAGAGAAACTCCCTCTGAAGGGAACACAGGGATTTTAGCCTTTGCAGAACATTTACATGCACAAAAACCTATAGAAACACACTTAAGGAAAAATCCAAAAAGCATGATAGGGTTTCTTTAAAGAAAGCCACTTTTTGCACATAATTTGTTCAGTAGAACTGACTTCAATATTTGTGGCATAATACTTTGGAAAGACCAAGACTTGTGTGCTATTGTAACATTTAAAAATATAGTGTAGTTAAAGAACAGGAGCTTTCCTCACAAAATGCTCCTTACAATTACACAGAGTCAAAACATTATTAACTTTTGTTGAGCTTTGATTAAAAAAAAAAACACACAATCCTTCACAATTTCTTTAGATACCAGGTTGAAGGTATGTATCGTTCATATGGCCTGAACGATGTTGAATGTTGCTTTGGTTTCGGCTAGGTTCTGCAAATAATGGTGTAAGCAATCAAACAACTGGTAGGTACACTAAGCCACACAGGCATCACACACACAGTAGACAAGTCAGAAAACATAAACAAATCTTGCTATTCTAAAACCTTCCTCGCTCTCTAGAGAAAAGCTCTATTGCATACTGTCAAAAGGTAAAGAACCAGTGTTTTGACTAATACTAAAAAACATGTTCTATATTTGCACATAAATAAATCTGCTCATTTGACTTCTGTTATGTTTAGTATTGACATGGTTTTTCTTTCTTTCACTGGTACAGAAAATATACTTTCCATTTATGAATGGCTGTTGCCATGGAGTTGTGACCCTGTGGTTCAAGTCTTCTTGTTGCCTGTGCTGGCCAGGGAAACATTACTGTTCAGCAGCCTGGTCTAGGATATGCCATTTCACTTTTGCCAACCCCCACTGGACAATGTTCAAATTTGACTGTGTGGCACAAGCATGACTCAACCTATAAACTAAACAGCAACACATCGGCAAGGTGTTTGTACTAGGTCCTACACATAAGAACATCTGCAAAGGGGCCCAGGAGGTTCTTGTTGAAGATACACCTGACCCACACCAGGTAGGTGGTGAAGGGCTTGATGTTCTCTGAAAACGTGTAGTTCTGCTGCGGAAGGATGTAAGGCATGTAGGTGTTCTCTCCCTGCTCCTGGATCCACACCTCGTACTTCAACTCTCTCACTTTCAGGTATTTCAGATTCCACGGGATCTGCCAGGAGACTGTGAGTTTAGCCTCATTAGTGGTTTGTACCGAGGTCTGACACTGGGGTTCTCTGACCCGGCCCGGATGAACTGTGCTGGCCGGTTTGGATCTTCTCACACTGGGCTTTGTCTTCATTCCCTCTTTAAGGACTTCCAAGAAGGAAGGGATGTCCACCAAAGTGTCCTGGTAGATCCGGAAGAGCCACTCCGGGTTGCGACAGCACAGGTGCCTGGGCACATCTTTGCTCGCCAGGATTCGCTCTTGCTCCTCCTTCTCCAAGTGAGTAATGCCCCCTTGATCCCAAGGTTTATCTGGGTGGGTGATGGTGTTCTCCTCCTTGGTGTTCCTCCAAGAGACATAGTGAAGATCCATGCCTGGAAGGGTGGCAAGGGTTTTATACGGGGTGTACTGTTCAGGGTTAACAGCAAAAGGGAATAACTCCACCACAACAGCTCCTCTAGGGAGGAAGAGTGAGGTGATTAGCTGAGCTCCATGCATACTGATTAACATGGAAGCCCCACTGATCACCTGGACGGTACTGGGGAAGGACTGTTCCTCTAGGGATACTGTGACCACTCTCATCTGGAACTCCTGGGCCAGCACCATGATCAGCTCCGCCTCGTTCAGTATCAGCCGTGTTGTTGAACGACTAAACAGTACAATGTATTCATCCTTTTTCCCTTTCTCATCTTCAGAACTCCCTCCATCCTTTTCCATTTCCTCTACCCTTGTGATGTTCATTTTGTCCATCAGAACCCTCGCAAACTGCCGGATCTCATTTCCTGACACCAACATGTTGGCTTTGGGCCCCTGCGGCTGAACAAACCCGTACTGGTACCAGGTGGTCATCTTGGACAAGCCCACGTAGGATTTAGTGAAACACATGAGCTTGCCAAAGTTCTTGAGCTGTTCTTTGAGCAGTGGCTGCTTGCTGCTTAGAAGTCGGTAGAGGTCAAAGTGCGGGCCTTCACCCCAGCCCTCCATAAAAACCAAACGCGCCTCATCATCTAAGTCTGAGTACTGCATCATAGTGTAGAAGGCAGGGATCAGGTCATCGTGAAACACGTGCATTAGGTTATCTGGATTGAATCTGTTTAAAATAAGTGTCACATCCGGTACGAACACCGGTTTAGGCATAAACTTTAAAGCAGCAGCTGGGAGCTCTAAGAAGTTGAAGTACTGGGTGTTGTGATCCTCCACTGAGGACAAGTCCAGAAGGGCCGGCTGGAAGCGCCTGGAGCCCAGGTTTGGCAACATGACAGAGGAATTGGAGTGGAAGAACACAAACTCCTCCGCCTCAGAGCAGTAGCAGAGGTAGTCAAAGCGGCAGATGCGGTCGGTGTGCATCTTTCCGGTGCAGACCATGCGGGTGCCGTGTTCCTGAAGAGCCTGAAGGGCAACATGGTAGTCGATGTGGGCCTGCGAGACCTCCTGGGACTGCTGGGTCATGTGCAGCTCTTCCTCAAGCAGGGCGGCGTGCTCACTCAGCTTGGAATACTTCCAAAGAAGAGCAGCGACTACAGAGACCAGCAACCCGTTAAGGAGTGCACCAATGCTCATCTTGCAGCCTGCCACTGAAGCCCGCATCACTGCTGCTGCACACCCACCTCACCACTCCAACTGGCCCCCGACCTCAGAGGGAAGTGACGAGACATCCGCCAACAGACGACAACTTAGGAAAGGAAGAAAAGAAGGCAGAAGTCGGTGGAGCAGGGGTTGACCATTGGGGGAAAACGATAGTATAGGTGAGGAGAAAGCTAGGGAGGATAAATAAGAAAGAACGTAAAGTTAGGATTAACATTCATAAAGTCAAACAAAAATTCATGATTAATGAAAATAATCACGTGATTATCAGGGCAGGAGAAACAAAATATTTAAATAATAAACAATAGCAAGCCTATGATGCTGCAGTGCTCTTTATGTAAGCGATACCCCATAGTGATTTATGAGAGCAGATTTCCGCCCGCGACTTAGGGAATAGAGGTTGTTAGCTTTGGCAGACAAATTAGACATTTTCCTAACCTTACCCCGTCACCCTTCCTGAAAATGTCATGACAAGTTGCGAGGAGGCACAGAGAGAAGAACCAGAGTATTTCTACACAACTCTACTCATCTGCATACTGAGAGAACAAGTGAGTCATTGAGGGACACTAAATCAGACCAAGAGTTAACGGAGAGCAGCTGCCTGCAAACCCAGGGCAACTAGCATGCTATAAACCCATCTGATGGCTAGCTGTTAACTTACAGCAAAGTATTCATTTATTACTTACTTTATACTATGCCCACAGACATGCCAATCAACTGCTTTCCATCTCTCTGGGGTCACTTTCCAACTCTTAGGGCTCTGACTTTTTCCTGTTACTCACCTTTATTGTGTACACTTTTTAGAATGTGTGGGAGAGAAACTACCTCTGGAGGGAACTTTCCGATGTTTGCCTTTGCAGACCATTTACATGCACAAAAAACGTATTGAATACACTACAGGAAAGGGAAAAACCCCCAAAACATACTAGGGCCTCTTAGTCTTTAATCATTTATTTTAGCATCCTTTTCTTTTTACATCATAAGATAAGATCCCGGTAGGGAAATACACGTGTTATAGCAGCAACAGAATAAGAGGGAAACACAGAGAACACATGAGAATACACACAACCATAACAAGAAGAAAACATGTCATACTGGGATTATGGATTCACCATGCACCGAAGCAAATTCCTGTATGTGTAAACCTACTTGGCAATAAACCACTTTCTGATATCTGATGTTGCTTAGTTGTCAAGTTCTTTCAATTTCTCTTTCCTCTGCTGTGTTTGTTTTGCATGCTGCTTTTGTTCTGCAGGAGCAGAGCAGAATCCCTGGACTATTTTTAACATCCCAACAAGTACAATATGTCACAAGCAACAGGATCACTCTCTGTGAAGACACTCAGGTGCCTCAGTGAATGCACATGGGCATGCACACATCAAATGCACAGTGTTTCCCATACATTGATTTATTTGTGGCGGGCCGCTACAAATAAATATCGTCCGCCACAAATGGATTTCATAAAAAAATAATAATAATAATAATACATTTGTGTGAGGTGGGCGGAAGGTTACGAGTTCAAATCCCGCCTGGAACACCACTACTAGTGTGCCCTTGAGTAAGGCACTTAGCCCTCAGTTACTCCAGGGAGAATGTCCCTGTAATTGGTCATTGTAAATCGCTTTGGAATAAGGCGTCTGCTAAATGCCTACATTGTAAATTGTAAATTATATTTTTGGGAGAATAAACCCCACAGATCCTCAACTCCGGTGTGTCTCACTCATTAACAACGCAACACAGAGCAACAAGAACGTTGCCTACAGTAGCCATGAACTCGCATATATTTTCTTATTTGAGGGGGGGGGGTGGCTTTTCTTGCCGGGAGAATCAAATGATGTGGGAAACACTGATGCAGCACTACTCAGCTGCTGCAGAGAACAAAGGACAATGTCAACTGAAAAGACACAAAATACAGCTTAAAATACATAAAGAGCTGTCAAGAGATGCCCGCACCAAGGGCAACTGGAAACAGCGAGCATCGACTTCGAAAAGTTCAAAATGACGATGCTGCTCAGTTTCGGGCTGACCAGAGCACATTCATCTTTATAAGCAGGTAGTCTTGAGGATCTGTATCATCTATTGTCAAAGCAGCTGCAAGACAGCAAATATAACCGTCTACAACTGAGCCATGGACATGTGAGCTGTTCAGAAACACTTCACAGAGCACTCACTGAAACCGCTCTCTGTAGTTATTTAAAGTGACCTTGCAGACACGGAGCTAAGTATTTCATTAGCAGCGTGAAGTAGCGAGCCAAGACACAGCCCAAGAAGAGAAATGGTCAGAGCAGTTCCAAATACAGTATAAACACATGTTCACTATGTTGACTTTCAGAGCAATGCCAACACTGGGTAATGGTCTCATATCCATATTCTATTCCTGAGTATGTGCTCTTAAGTACTCGTGTCTAGATGTCTCCAGTGTAACAGTTCCATCCTTTGTCATCATCAAATAATGATGGACACAATCTGAAGGCCATCTGTAATTTTGAAGGATCAGAACACCAACAAAGGTGTCTTGACTTTAACTAAATCAGTTCAGCTGTCAGAGCACCATTAAATGGCCCAAGGCACGATTTGGGGAAATAATCTAATTGCAATTTTTCTGACAGATATTGCGATTGCGATTCGATTTGTGATATTTGTTTTTAAGCGACCCAACGGAAGTTTATTGTAAAATGCGGCCATATCTCCGGCTAGGAAGGTCGCATCAACATGCTCCCGTCTCTAGCAGCCCCGCAGCCCGAGCTACGAGTGAAAGAACTAAACTTACATGAAACTTCCGTTGGGTTGCTTTAAAGTCAAGCTTCAGTTTAAGATTCACCCTGTAATAGATGTGAAACATGTGATGGAGCATTGGAAGCCATTTGGAAAAGGGCAGGCACTTTCAAAAATACTTGGCAGGTGATTGGATCAATCTGTCTATCACCTTCTATCATGGGCCACTTCTGATTGGTTAACAATGGCTGGTACATGTGGAGCACAGCACTTCTGATTAAAAAAAAAATCACAGGCTTTGCGATTTGATAATCGCATCATTTCAAATCGCGATTTCGATTTAAAATCGATTAATCGTTCGTTCAGCCCTAGTACTGGCTGAGAAATTTGCAATCGCTAAATCCTATTTCATGTACACATTTACTGACATATGCTGTCTGAGCTTGCTCATTGGCTCGCCACTCGGAACTGAATGTATCAGTCGCTTGTGATAGCAGCTGTTGTTGACAATGAAGAATTAATAAGTGACCCTCTTTACAGAGTGGTGTTTGATCTAATAATGTTATTACTCCACATAGTCCTAACCGTCCGACTGGAGTGGGCAAATTGAATTAAGCAGCATTTAAAATACAATGAGTTAATACAAATGTTGCCAAAATGTGTGATAAACGGTTTTTCACAAAGCTCCTATAATATAGAAAATGTTTTTTGGGCCAGTGTTTACCTTATAGATGAAATTGTGTTTGAGATCCCTAATTTCCATCTTGTAAATATTGAATTTACTTCCCCTAAACACAAAGTGTCTATAAACATTGATGTCTGCGTGGTCCCTAAAACAAGAGGTGGACAGGGACAGATACTGACATTAATGTCACACAAATCCTGAACACTATGGATAGATATTAGTATGATTACACAATTATACTGTAGCTGCTTGAGCTAACGTTAGCTTAACATCCTGACAAGACGAGCTGCTTCAGAACCTCTGAGCTTTTTACAGGTAATACTGTAGGCCTAAAACAAGGTTATTATGAGCTTCAATTAGAAACGGAAGATGAAAAAGAAAATCTTCACTAAAATGTTCTTTAATGAACAAAAATAAAAGTGAAACTTGGCCACTGACACATGTTATAATTAATTTGACACACCAGTCAGTTCAGTGAGGTATGAGGAGGTTCATTGATAACCACTATGAATTACCAGAACATAGTAACTGTCAAATGTACAGGTACATCTGAATAGAAAGAAGAAACTTGAATCCTTACCAAAAGCTTGAAACCGTCATTACTTTCAAAAATCACTTTAAATAATATATATATAATTCATATCAGATAATTCAACAACTTACATGAGTTTTGAAAATTGAGAAACGGCAGCTTTTGGCTAGACCCTAAACTAGATTTAAAGGTAGCCTGCAAACTCGTATTTTCTTGCACAGAGTAGCCTGTCAGTTTTGTGAAAAGTATACAAAGAATGGCTTTCAATCAGAGCAGAAATGCAGTTAAAAGAGACAGAATAATGGGGAGGGCTACGAGTCTGCAAACCAAGACCCTGAAGAACGTCTCCTCTCACACAGAGGAAAGGGAAGGGAAAACTAAAGAAAGAAGAATGTACTAAAGAAATGTGATGCATGTGATGAGATTACAGCAAATACTTTGTAAACTGAGCCGGTGCAGCGAATCAATATGCTGAATCCTGCGTATCAGAAACAGCCAGATACAGATGCAAATCAGCTTATGCATGTTAAACACGCTTTTAAATGTTGGGGTCAACGACTACATTTGAATGAAGGGGCAATATTTGCTGAATATATTGTACTTTTAGAATATTGCATTGTGTTTTCCATAACTCTTCTTGTATTATTCAGAGCCTTCTGAACACATGAAATAGCTTCTGGTCTTGGAGTTGATGGACCATAAATACCACACAGGCAGCGTTGTGTTATTTTCATTTTCACAGCACACACTGAAAGACTTTCAGATGTGCGCTAAACATTACATGTTACTGATGTTAATATACACTAAGGACTCAGATGCATTGTTTACAGCCAAGATCACAGAACACATACGAAGTGCTATTATCAAATTGATGGTCAGAAAATCACACTGAAGAATATTATCTTTTCTCAAAAAATATTATATTAATAATGTTTGCCTCCAATCAACACTAGATAGCTAACTAGACAGCTATACTGTAGACCCAAAACACATTGTAAGATATTCCCCTCTATACAATAAAGATAGATAGATAGATAGAAACCCATCTAAAATATATAGGCTGACTGAACACAGATTCTTCTGATCTGAGATGTAAAGACTCATTCATTCACTTAACCATGCATTTATTAAGTACATTTTTATATTATATTCATAGGTTTTGATATTAACAGCAGAAGTCAAAGCAAATATACATGTATTACATAATTCATGTGTTAGCATATGCTAAACTATAACTGAACGTGCTCTGGAAGCTTCACAGCTGGAAAGGCAGAGCCCCGGCTAAAAGCAGACACACACACACACACACACATAAGCACACACACATACACACACAGGTTACACAGGTCCTTACCTCGGGCTATGCTGCAGAGACACACACAGATAGAGTGTCAGGAGACAGCAGCGTGTCCCCTCACCCGGTGCTCTGTGCTGGTGTTTACAGGCTCCTGAAGCTTCTGAGCTAGCCTACTGAAGCTACTGAGGCTATTGAAGCTAGCCTACTGAAGCTAGCTGTCACAGAGAGAGGCAGCAGATGCCTGGATACCGCCGAGAAAATCCCGCGGTCAGGTCTCGCGATGACACTCCGAGGGTGCCAGTGATAATGCATGTTGTGCATATTTATCATGAAAAAGAAACGTAGCAATACCACACTACAGTTGTATGTAGCCTAAGAAAACGTGTTTCTTTCATCAGCTAAAGCGGGTTGTGTGTTTTGAAGACGTTTATTTAAATACTCTTAAATGCAGGGATCAATCAATTAATCAAATGATGTGACTAACATGTGAATTAAATCCAGACTTTGTAGCTGTTGTATGACTGTAATAAATCCATCTATGATCTACCGTTTACAATACATTGAGGGCCAAGTTCAAAGAAAAATATATTGAAAAATATTAGATACTAATCATGTCATGCAAAAACTGATTAAGGAAAAATAGCTTTTGTGAGAAATGCATTGAGAAAACATGTCTTATTCCTCTCACTAGATGTCACTAGACGCTTTTTTTTGGGAAGACCAAGCTGGCTACACTGCCCCTCAATTATCACTTGCACACAAATGTATGGTATGTAGGCCTAGAAATTGCGGAATAAAACCAAAATACTTAAGGAGGGGTTTCACATCGCCTGCTATTCATTAATAGGGTATGTGGCGTGGGCGATGTATTACACGTCTTGCTTATCTCAAAACACAATAATGCAAAACTGACTTTCATTAATGCAACAAACCATTACTTTTTTAATTAGATACAAATTCTACCGTAAATAATGTGTTGTTGAGTAAATATGGAATGATGTTTTCAGCAACCGTTTTTGTTTGACGTCAGAGCAGAATGCGGTTGGCGATGCTCTCGTGTTGCTTTCCAGTGTTCCTTGTAAGGACCTGACTCTAAATGTCTACAATTTGTCCCGCCAGAAAACGCTTTTCATTAACAATAACAAGACACATACTTTCTCTCGCTTTAGTTTTTTCTGAAAAATCCCTATTTATGGTACATTGAATGGCAACATTGTAAAGGTTTATTATGATTTAATTCATCTATTAAACATATGTGATGATGCCCATATCTTCAACAGTGGAAATCATTTGTATTGGTCCACAGTTTGACGGTTGTAAAAATGTCGACACTGTTTTCAGCCCGTGAAGGCATCACCACAGCCCCAGTCGGCTGGAAGGATACACGGATCAGGCTGCCGCTGCCAGCTATGCAATGCCTCCTTTTACACATGAACCCTGGGCATAGGCACCTTCTGAGTGCCACGGTCAACCCCTCGTATTCTTTCATCATTTGCGACAAGCTTCTGTAGAGAGCTCCCAAAGGACCCAGGATACCCGGTAGAGACCGGACCAGGGGCTTTATGTTTACCGAAGCAAAGCTGGAGAGGTGAGCTGAGCGAGTAACTTTAGCTTGCTACATGCTAGGTAATCCGGATAGCTGTGTGATACCTGTGTACCTGTGTGGCCAGCGCCTTGTTTCACAGCTAGCTAAACATGTTTTTGTATACATTAGTGTGGCTTTGTAATGAATAAAGGCAACCTTCTAACGTTAAAGAGCGAAAGCAGTTAACGTTAGTCATACAGTGAGCTAACGTTAATCAATCAATGGACAACGAGCTAGCCCATGTAACGTCAGGCTAACGTGTGCTACCGCCGGTCGGGGCCCGTCATGCAGCTGACTTCTGCCAACGGCAGTCTATGAAACTCCGCTCGAAACAAGTAGCTTCCTGTACATTGGACAACTGGAAGCCTCTTTATGTAGTTAAGACAAGTTTAACGTGGTTCATTGTAGCAGCACGATACAGCAGGCAGGATAAATGAGCTAACGTTAGTGTGACAGCCATTCTGTGAAAACATGACAGATGCATATGATCACAATAACATTATTCTGCTCAGTGTAAGGGAGGGTCTGTTGCATTCATATTATAATTGAAATCTTTCAGTGTGCTGAACATTTCCATATGGACTCCAGCTTTGCCTATTGTTTATTGAAACTGTTGTCATTTCATTTCATTAAGGCAGCTGGAGCCATGGGTTTTTCCCTCCACCTTCGATGAACTGAACTAAGCTGGACCCAAACAACTCAGCCAACCTGACCCGGCCTACAGGGGGGACTCTGCTCTCCCCATCGCCCTCTCCAGCTATGGCAGGCTTCAAGCGGGGCTACGATGGCAAGATTGCTGGGCTATATGACCTGGACAAGACGCTGGGCCGTGGCCACTTTGCCGTGGTCAAGCTGGCACGCCACGTCTTCACTGGGGAGAAAGTGGCGGTGAAGGTGATCGACAAGTCTAAGCTAGACACCGTTGCTACAGGCCACCTCTTCCAGGAGGTCCGCTGCATGAAGCTGGTCCAGCACCCCAACATTGTGCGCCTGTATGAAGTTATAGATACTCAGACTAAGCTTTACCTCATCTTGGAGCTAGGGGATGGTGGGGATATGTTTGACTACATCATGAAACATGAGGAGGGTCTGAATGAAGAGCTTGCTAAGAAATATTTTGCCCAGATTGTCCATGCTATCTCCTACTGCCATCGGCTGCACGTGGTGCACAGGGATCTTAAGCCAGAGAATGTGGTGTTCTTTGAGAAACAAGGGCTCGTCAAGCTCACCGACTTTGGATTCAGCAACAAGTTTCAACCGGGGAAGAAGCTGACGACCAGTTGTGGATCTCTGGCATACTCCGCCCCGGAAATACTGCTGGGTGATGAGTATGATGCTCCAGCCGTAGGTATGCAAAACATGTAGGCTGATGAATGATGCAAAAGTGAAGTGAGTGTTATTTAGAAAATAATAATAGATAGGATGCAGTACTACCAGATTGGATTCTTGAAGGGGCCATACTATGCTTATTTTCAGGTTCATATTTGTATTTTGCAACTTTAATGTTCAAAAAGCTCTTTATTTTTCTCATACTTCCTGTGCTGCAGCACCTCTTTTCACCCTCCGTCTGAAACCAGAGCCCAGTCTGCTCTGATTGGTTAGCTGGCCGGCTCTGTTTAGAGATGTCCCGCCGCTAGCCTACCACGTTACTTAGTGATGTCTTTGTGTTATGCAAGTAAACAAAGCGGGGTCCAATCAAAGCGTTTCGATTCAGTCTGTGGGAGAGAAACTCCCTCTGGAGGGACCTTTGGATTTGAGTCTTTGCAGACCATTGCATTGCATGCACGAAAACCTACATAACACACCGAGAAAAACGAAACCCCCCAAAAAGCACAATAGGGCCTCTTTAACTAGTCCTTTGTGTAAGCCCATTTCGTAGCATGGCCACTTTATGCTTTCGCACAGAGACAGTTGTGGTTGTTTTTTGATCTTTAATGATTCAGAGTTTATTTAAAGTCCGATGGAGCAGAATTGTTACACATGGCACTAACATCATGTCACTGTGTTAAAAAGCAGGCTTTTTGTATTATCAAAGTCATATTAAAGCCAGCTTCAGCACAGTGGAGTAGGTTAGCACCTGTTTGACACTTTTTTGTCTGCTAGTTTGCTTCCAGGGCCTGACCACTTGTTCTGTTGGCCAAGCTTTGCTTTGTGTTTTGATTGCCTACACGTCAAACAGCAATCCATCATATGCCAGACCCCTGTGCAACAGCATACGAGTTGGACTTGTTTTAAAGATCAAGCTGTGGAAAGCTTTATGATGCTAACAGCCATTGACGCTGGTCATTTTGCAGGCGGCCAGTGGCCATGTACTACCAGGTCAGCTCTTTTAGCACTGATGTTTTATGGGTGTCCCATTGCTCTAAATTAACTGGCTCATTGATTTTCTCTGGGGTTTGACAGAGTGCAGACAAACAGATTGTGTGTCCCTCCATACTGATATGATATCTATCATATTGGTAGCTTAACTGATGGCATAACATGAGACCAAGGTCCAGGTCTTGAATGGGATTGTGAGGTGTGCTGAGTTAAGCTTGTTTTTTCGGGCCCGTGTGGTTGTTCATGTGGTGTTAATGCTGCACCAATATGTGTCCGAGTAGTAGTGATATGATTGTTTATGCGCATAGAAAAAACGCCATCAGCTTTACCTCACCCCAGAGCTAAATGATGGAGGGAATGTCAGGAAACATGAAGAGGGGGTGAATTAGGAGGTGTGTGGCGCAGTGCACTAGTGCGTTTGTGTTCGGATCAGGGGAGCACAGGTTCAAACCCCACTGCAGTCATCATGTCGTTGTGTCCCTGGGCAAGACACTTCACCCCAAATGGCTCCTGTGGGGATTGCCCACAGTATTGAGTAAGTCGCTTTGGATAAAAGCGTCTAACAAGTAACATGTCATGTAATGTAAAATGAACTGCTGGATGATGGGTTTTGTTGCTGCTGCAGGTTCTCTTCCAGAAGTTTCTTATTGTATTGACCTGTAGCATGAGCTGTGACATGAAGCAATAGATTTTTCATTGATATTATTTATTGTTAATGTATAGTTAAAGTATTTAAATAACTGGTTCCCATCTGGGAAAAAGGCAGGTTTTTCTCTTATCTGGCTGTAAATACAAGAGAAGACTCATCTATTATTCCATTACTTTACTCAAGGCTTTCATAGTTTTGGTATGGTGAATTACAAACTTACATTCATAAAATTAGGATATTTAATGGAAACGGTAAGTGTTCACACACAAGGAAAAACTGTGTTGTGCAATCCCCCAAAATAATGATGTTGCCTTTATCACACAAACTAGCCTTTTATTGAAATATTTGCAATATAGATATATTTCTTATTTCAGTTGTGTTATATGTGATATAACATAGCGATTTTATAATGAAAAATCTGCAGGGTCTATATTGTAAAAAAAATGATAAGTTGTATGTAGCTGTGTGATAAGGCTTTTCCATTCTATGTATTTGTAGTGGACCACCATCTGCACGGGTTGTGCTAAGAGGCAGCTACCACCCTGCACACAGTGTTATTGATGGTCTCTGTCTGCAGCTCACTATACTTATGGCGCGTTTCCACTACAGCGCGGAGCACGGTTTAAGAGGGCTGTGACGTCAGCGGCCCGTCTTTGGTTGCGTTTCCACTTGGCCTAGTACCGGCCGGCGGGTCCTAATTCACAGTTTTTCTGGCCTCATAAAATCATGGGTCTAGGGCCAGAGACAACGAGGCTGAGTCAGGCTGAGTATGCTAAACTAGAGAGAGCGTCGCTGACAAGGGGGCTACAACTACAACAAGATGGACATATTTGACCGTGATTTAATTGTAATACACGTTTCAAAATGATGCCGAAGTAACAACATACTGATACCGGTTAGTAAAAACCATGAATTAATGCTTTGACAAGTCTGCAGACAGACGGCAGGCGAAAAACCTTTTAAAATGCGTGTTTTCTAAATGGAGATTGGCTAAGCTAACGCAGTATATGCTCCGACCGTCCACACTCACAACAACGGCCTATACAGACATAAATAAAGCAGCGACTGTATTCACCATGACACAGGCAGTCTGTGGTTTGTACTTGTTTAACTTTTGTCTAGTTTCTGAACGGATATGAGGAGCTGTGAGCTCTGAGTGCTAACAGCTAACGGCTGATGTTGTTTTTCTGGGGTTCTCATTGAAGATGACGTCACGGCTCCGCCTACACTGCGTTACTATAGATACTACCCCAGTTCCTAAACTGTAATGGAAATGCGCCATAAAGTGAGCCAGTCCTAACGAGGCCTAGCCATACCGAGCGAGGCCGAGCGAGGCCGTGTAGTGGAAACGCGCCATTATATGGAGCTGAGCATAGGGCTGCTTTTGACCAAAGCCTTTTTCACCAGTAGTTGTCTGTTCTAGTGATCTGTCGAGTAGGCATGGCCATTTTTGATATATTATGACTATTATTTCTTTCAGTTTCAGGGCTTAGGAAAAGGATGTAGAAGCGCAGGGACTGAATCTTAATTTGTGCCAGAACAAGCAGCAAAGACTCATTTATTTTTCTCAACACAGTATAGCATAAATTACATCATCACACACAACTAATGAATGTGTAACATACAACAAAAATAACTAAACAATAATTTGAAAAGGTTTATTTTTTAAATGCTGGTGAGCTTAGGGGAGTGTTCTCATTTATTTCTATCATGCCAGTGGCCTCCCATCCACCATTGTCTGGTCCTCCCAGTCCATCTTCATTTCACTGCTCCCTTCTTCTGCCTTCTCTTCTTCACCAGTAGCCATCATCATTGGAGAGACTACTTACATGCTTCAGATCATAAGTGATGTTTCAGGTTGACATATGAAAAGCCCTTTTTTGCCTGCAGAGTTTTGCATGTCACCTTCTTGGGGTTTTCTTTACACAATCAAAATGATCCCACACTTTGGATTTCCTGCCTGACCTAATAAACGTAATGACCTGGAACAGCTCCAGTATAAGTTTGAGGGGTTTTCCAGCTGACGCAACAAAGCTCAGACTGATAGACTAATCAACATTGCTCGACTAAGACTTTTTAAATTGACAAACGTTAGATTAAATTAAGAGGCAGCTCTAGCTGAGCAAGACTTTAGTGGGCCAAACACTTTGCTCTCTGCCAGGGAGCTGTCCTGAATGTGATGTGCTTTGGCGCTGCTTGTAATTGCAGCGGTGCTACTTTTGGTTGTGCTGTGCAGCAGTTGTTGTGTTGAGAGCGCTCTCTGGTAATGTGTGGTGTGTGCATTACGGAGCAATTTAGTGACGTTTTGCACATGCTCTTGTGGGCTTTGTGATGTTGTGGCCAGAGCCATTAGATGCTGTGAGGTAAATGTGATTCCTCATGTTTGCACATTTGCAGCCCAGGCCCTTTTTGTCTGCCAGGCTTAAAACAGATAACCATATAACAGGTCTGTCTGTATTATATAAGTCACAGTGGTGACAGGATAACCTTCAATGCAGTCTGTGACCATTAGTAGTTTGATCACTGAAAGTTATCAATTAGGAACTTTTAGTGCAGACAGCAGGTTGTATCTTGTATGTTCGACATGTTATGCTTTAGGCACTCTTTAGCTGATGGAAAGTCCTTGACTTCCTGTTTACATATATCTGTTGATGACTCATACGAACATCTTTCCTATGCCTCCTGCAGAGATGTTTGCCAGCCCTTGGCGTCTGCACTAAAAAAAACTCGTCCTTCTCTTAATTGCAGCCCTGCTTTTTGTCACCTGCTGCCAGTAATTGGGAAGAACAGTTAATCCATCTTATTGTGTGGACTGAGCCAGGAGAGGATGATAGCGAGGCAGGATGATAGCGAGGCAGGATGCAGCCACTACACAGCTCTGTGTTGCTTTGATTAGAGCCCACTCATCTGTTTTCCTCCAGTGGGCCTTATTATCTGGTCCATTCTCCTCCACATGCAAAATGTTGTGCATAAGCTTCTAGTTTACGTTATCACTCCTTGTGTACATGTGTTTGTTCACTACACTACATCCTGGTGAGTTCTAAAAACAAATTCCCTGTGCGAACAATTAAAACTAAACTCCATAAGTGTATTACTTGATCTGGGAAAACATGTTTCAGTGCTTCAAAGTTGTTTCAAGCTTGCCTAATGTACAAAGCACTAGGGCTATTCGGGTTTCAATTTTGTTATTCGGATATTCGTTTGTTTTTTTCCGTTTTTTCTTTTGCAGACGCGCTGCACTGCGGCTGCCAAATAGAATTGATTGAAAACTCCAATATCAACGTAAGAGCTTGTGCCTCTTCGGGGGGTGCTAACACTTAACCATAAACGTTATCGTTTACTTTCTCCGTCTTTATATGTAGATATGACTTTTTCTCCGT